GGACTCGTCTGCAGAGTCGGCACTTCTGCAGACGCTTCAGCAGGGCGAAGCATTGTTTTCAACAGGCGGCTTTGTCACTTGAGTGCTGAACAGCTGCCGTATTAGTAGCTTTAGCATTATTCTACTCTAGGGATGGCAGTGCGCTGCGTGAGTTCAGAAGTTCGCACAGGACGCAGTTGCCTCCAAGAAAAAGGCCGCATTTTGTTCTGCAGAGAGAAAGCCCCGAATCGCACTGAAAAATCGCACTGAAAGCCAGTGGATGTGCCTTTCAGGGTTTAATCGAGGGTTTCTTTCGGGGTTACGACAAGGCTTTGCTCCAAGTTTCCTATAACGGTTGCCATACGACTTTCAGGATAGAAGCTTCCGTCATGGCTACTGTAAGAGTTACGCTTAGGGTTCTATAAGGGTCAAAATGTCAGATGTCGTGGAGCTTGTGGAATCACACAGCAAAATGCAAGTTTGGACAGTCTTCCCTGGTCTACTTGCTCTACCCTTCCATACCCAACGCGCTTGGATGGCAAAAGGACCTTGCTGTTCGTGTCCACGTCCGAATGTGTTGTGTAGCACATGCGTGTGCGAAATGACAGCTCATTGCTTTCATCAATCATCGATCGACTCCGTGGATGTACATGAGTCGATTACCTCGAACTTGATATATTCCGTGCCCATTTCGGTATCAGCTTCGAATCAAATTTTCTTCTCTCACCCACCCTAACCCTCTTTAGGTAGTTTCATGTTCCTCTGCTTTCATTCTGCGAGACCCGACCGGGAAACGGTCGGTCCTCCAAATCTCGAAAGAAAATTTCTGCATGAAATGCGACTGAAACCTTCGAGATGCCCGAGTCGCAGCGCACCCCAGCGAAGCGAAAGCAGTTGGAAAAGGTGCGCGTAGCAGGGATGGATGCATCACCGGTGAAAGCTTTCGTTGTCAATTACATGCTCCACTATGTACTATCCGGCATCGTGCCCCCTGGAGTCTCCAAGTGTGAGCGCGCCGAAACCCCGAGGGGTCCAAACTGGATGTCTCAGAAACCCTAAACCCGAAACCATCGTGTCGCAGAGGGAACAACGCCGCTTGTCAGTTGAGCGTTTGAACCCATGACTTTGAATGCGAAGTTGCTTCAGAAGAGCAGCTGTTCAGATCGCTATGACGAGAATCCCATAACAGATTTGGCACCGCGGTGCACCGGAAATAGCCACAGGAATCACTCGCAGGAGTGGCCGGAGGAACCTTTCTCAGCCGCCGCTGATCAGAATCGGAACAACTTGCAAAGAACCACTCATCGGCACCACCGGCTGGGCCCTCTTGGTGTGCAGGAAGATCAGCTTCTCGTAGATGGGCCGGACTTTGGACGGGATCTTGTACAGATGGACTTAAATTAAGTTCCTGTGTTCTCAGCTCTTGTCGTGTGAAGCATGGTGCTGCTTATAGGACCGCCCACTGTAACGTTAGTCCGATCAAGGTTTCGAGAATGAAGTCGGTGGTGCTCTTAACTTGCAGCTTCCTTCTGCCAACTTCTGCGGAATCCGCCACCTCCGTTTCCATACTGTCAACTATACTTCTCTTGGGTTGCCAGAAGCTAACCCCAAAGGCCCTAACCCTAAACAGGACCTGAAACAAGTCAGGCCATCGAGAAGGTCGACTTGCCCCCACCGTGGGAGAAGCGGCGTGTACGGGGTGGGGGCGACCGGCCCCGGCCCGAGGATAAACAAAGGGTTCGGAATAAAATGACTAATGTAGAAGCCAAAATATTTGGGTTCCTAATGATAATGTTACCATGCTATACTATACCCCTTAGCCCTACTCAATGTATTCGAGTTAGTTATGAAAGGCCCTTCCCCTCAGAACGCCTTTTGGTTGTTCTAGATCTTACCCCAAATCCAAGACAAAAGCCCTGTTTTTTAATGACCCACCTAGATGATGCGCGGGTTTCTGTATTGGGGATCTCCTGGCGTGTGAAACAGGAAGGAAGCTACTACTTTGGGTCGGAGCCAGGGGTCCTCGTCTCTGAAAGTCCCATGTCGACCAGTCCAGCGGGGGGTTACCACCTACTATGGGAGGCCGATGAATGTTTGGTCTGCGCAGATCGGCTACTGCAACGTGGATTTCACCCCTGGCATGGTACTAGAGTTACTAGAGAGGGCGAGCATTCAGGAGTTGCGAGAGGAACACGGGACACAACATGGACAAATCCCTCAAAAGCAGGTCAAGATTCTTACTTGGCTTGTTTCACTGGTGCCACTTGCATGAGTCAGCTGCACCACCTTTTACTCGGGATCCTCATTGCAAATTTGGTTCTGGAGCCATTGCAAGTTCTATTATGGATTTCGTCTTGATTTCGGCTGCCGGCCTCAAACCTAGACTCCATATCCTCGGCGGGATCTTACCACACACACACACATAACATGTGGTGCAGCGGCGCCTACAGGAAGAAATACCTTCTCCTGTGTTTGTGGACGGGTTTGTTCTGCGTTCTTGCCCTCCTTCTCCCAAAGCGGATGTTTTCAACGGATGATATAACTGTCACGAGAATGGAAGCATTATTCTGATCTGCTTCTGTGACTGTTAGCACTGTTGTGATGGTGCAATGATATCGAGATCCCGACACGGCACGAGCTGCAGGGGTTTAATTCCAGGCCGGCCATTCCTGTGTTTCTTGGCTATTTTGAGACGTTGCCGTGACATCAGGCAGCCCGAAATCGGAGGCTTTTACACAGATCCCACGCTCGCTTTCAGACCATACAATGTGGGGCGGCACCATTTGGTACTTGTAGGCTGTGAAAATCTTCCCGAGACCTGGTCGCAGTAAGTCACTACGTGGAAATATTCCAACAAGCAAAGAAGCCTGGACCTTCGACTGTGTTTCCCGAGGCCTGGACGGATGTACTTCCTCGACCCCAGGCGCGCTCAAGTGAGTGAAGTCTCTGTGCGATGTTGGACGGAAGTTTCGGCTACGAGGCTGTTGTCTGTCATAAGCGTGACTTAAAACCCTCGCGCCCCACTGGTCATTCACAATCATGAACACCCTGCGCAACATGTAAGCCGAGAGTGAGCGTTGAGACTGGAGACTTCATGTTCGCAAGGTCGAAGCGCACAACCTGGAAAGACCCAAGGCTCGCTGGTTTCTGTGTGCTCCTGGTTCTCTGGGTGCATATTTCTAGCATCAGCTAGCATGGCTCGAAGGGCACTCTTTGGCCACATGTTTCCCTGCAGCTACACCAGCCGGCCGCATCTCAGCCTGCCGGAGAGAAACAGCAGGTTCTTGCCAGACAGCTGGGACCAGCGCGTTGACTCAGGAAGTGGCAAGGCCTGTGCGAGAAGGACTTTCCCTTATAGTGCTCGAAGTACTAGCCTACAGTGGAAAGTTTCTACTCTCTGAAACATACCTAGCCATAGCTACGTTGGACCCCTACTTTTAAGGTTTGCCGCTGGCCGAAGAACGGTTTGGGCTTCGACAGCATGGCGACATAGCACAGCTAGTAACTAGTACATGTTTCCCATCGAGAATCTCTGAGAACCGTGTTGCTTGCTGTATCAGATAGAGTACAACTGGTGGTAGTAGTCGTGGCAGCAGTCGTATTGGCAGCGGCAGAAGTATGCATGGCAAAAATAGTTGTGCAGTAGTAGTGCCAAGCATCAGAAACAGCATATGGTAGCCAGTTACAGCAATCGCTGCAGTAGTCACCAGACCAGTGGCAAGGGTATCGAAACGGCTCACCATTTGCAGGGGAAATCTTGACGACAGACTTAATTGCTAGTAGCATCGCATGAGGCGTACTTGGACGTGCCTGTTCGGGGTTCCTCAGATCAATCACCGCACCCGAGATCACAGAAGCAACTTCCCCCCTCAAGGCTTGAAGCGCTCTAAGTCTGCAACGAAACCTTCCCAAGCCCGCCTGCCAGCGTAAAACTCTCTTCTTCACTTCTCACCTGTATCAATTTGGCAGGTCTATTTCCAGTACCACAAAACTCGGAAGACCACTTACGTGGATCCGCGTAGCTGCCCCGTGGGCTGGGCCAGGAGCCTTAGACTTCTTGGGAAGGTTTCGATGGATCCGTCTGGGTTATTGAAGCTATGGAGTTCTGGGGAAATACCTTCTTCGGTGTCTTCGGAAGAACTCTTAACAGTAAAGTGCTGCAGAACTTCGAGATCTGGGCTCGGAGACTTTCATTCGGAAGATCCGCAACACCCGAGCTCCCGCGCCGACCGCACGAGGAGCACGTGGAATGTTAGAGAGCCCTGCTACAGCAGAGCAAGGTAAACAGCTTTCTGCGTTGAGTTCAGACTATCGAGAGGCTGATCATCAAATCACAGTGCAGCCCTCGCACAAACACGGCCAACCACAGAACGCTATCCAGCAGCTTTCGGAGCGGGCCAAGGACATGCGCCTTTCAAAGGATGGCGAGATCTACTTCGCCTACCTCCCGGCCATGCGCACGACCCTCATCGACCACGCCTCAGCATTGGTTTGACACCTTTCGGCAAGTCGGGCAATGTTGGGTTGGGGTTTGGTATCGTGGTCGGAAGCTTGGGTTGCAAGGATCAGCTCGCCGGATTCTGGTAGCCGCAACTGCTATCTTTTTGAAGACTGCAGCCTGCTGTCGCCTACCGTAGTCGAGCAGTCTCGTGTTATCGTTACGTTACTAGTAGCGCCCTCACTATGCGGAGGATCCACGAGGTTTGCCAGACAACTTCGATGCTGCCCTGGATGACAGCGCCAGGTCAACCAGCTGGAATGCAAGGGACGGTAAGTCTTACCGCACCCGACCGCGACACGTCAAATCCGTCTCTTGACATACGATGTCACCCCCAGCCCTGTAAGAGTTCCCTCAGTCGCGGCCAGCAGGTTGCGGCCAGGATTCCTCTCCGAGCCACTCTTTAGCAACTCGAGGGAGAGTTTTGAAAAAGCCAGCTATTTTATTCCTTGGCGTTTCCTACTATATCATTATACTATCCGGTGCCGCCCCCTATGTTATCTTAAGCCTCTGTAGCAGAATGCTTAGAGGCCCTTGAACAACGTGCCCTTAAATAGGAGTCCCGATATTACGCTCTGCCATGTGGGAGCCAAAACAAGCCTTCTATACTCAAGGGGCTCCAGGGCTGGGATGAAGGTACGAGTAGGTGGGGTAATCCCAACCTTAGGAGTCCTTACAACCCTAAAACCCTAAACCCTGAAGCCCTAAAGCCTGAACTCTTGAGCTCGGACACTTATTGCCTGCAGTTGCGAGTGTGTGAGTCGAAACTCCTGAACCGCTTGTCGGCATAGATCTCACCGATGCGAGGGGGAAAATGCTCCTGAACCCTGATCCCTAAACCCGCCTCAACAATATATATTCGCCAGGATGTACTTCAAGAACCATGAGAACCAGACCACGACATGGGATGACCCTCGGAGTGGCCAGCAGGAGGCGGCAGTTCGGATTTGCATCGGCCACTCTGGACATATCATATATTTATAGTCTATATGGCATATGATATGACATGATACTATGTTAGATATGATATTATATGAAAGAATTGTAACCTATATGACAACATGCTTTATGAAGGTACATTTTCGGATACTAGTACTATGCCTCACGTATCGTTTGTATCATCATGTGTTCTCATGCTAGATTTCAATAGAAATGTAAAAGACTAGATTGTGACATGTTATGATCTGATGCAAAAAATATGGACGAGAAGAGGTACATGCTGCAGTTCCTGAGATGTGCAGGTTTAGGGACGCTTTGCAACGGCCACCCCTGCAGTGGTGCAGGTGACTTTGACCAAGTGGAGACAGGCCTCATCTTTGTGCAAGAAGTGTTTGCGGTTTAGGGTTGGCCGCGCATCCCTCGCACCGTTAACTCGCACCACTACAAAAACCCTAAACGGGAAAACTGCAGACTCGAACCATATGCTTCGCCTGGATTGTCCGAGTGTGAGCGCCGAAACGGGAAAACCCTAAACCCGCAAACCTTAGACCGATCGCTTGGGGAGGCACAGTCCACGCGATGGTGGAAAGAGCAGGCGCCCTTCAGTCCGGTATTACGTGGGGGATGGTGGGACCACTAGTACCTGCAACGTGATGGTAGCATGTCCATATTCTTTGAGGGGCTGCATCATTACAGTCGTTCTTCTCATGACACAGACAGATTTGTGCACTCAGATTGAGCTCGTCGCCCGATCACTCCCTGGGTCCCGAGCAGTTCTTTTTCGGGACAGTCGGCTGTGTGACCTTAGCTTTGGAGCATGGTGCGTGTTGATGCAGGTGTGGAGGGAGATCGAGGAGATGAACAGGTGTCGGCCGTGTACACGTAATTACACGTATAACCTTTTCGGCTTTAGTACAAGCATGAATGAGTGTAGAGTACATGTATATATATATATATATGTGTGTGTGTGTACATATATGTACATATAATATAAATATATGTACATAAACATATTTGTATGTATATTTATATATACATGTCAGCCCGAAGGCACAATATTTGAGCCAACCTGGCAACGCTTGGGGTATCTGAACTCGTGTTACCAACTACCGACATGTCTTCCGAGCAATGCTGCAAGTATAATTATTCGTCCTTGTGCCAGCTTATGCAGCCCAGGCTCTGGCGTTGGGGATTTTCGGCTGACTTGCCGGAACCGTCGTCTAAATTCTTGCACATGTTCAGCTTGCAATGTGGAAACAGCTTTTCATCAGACCTTTGTAACCAGAACCACTCAGAAACACCGGCATCGTGGAAGCAGCGGGGAAGTCCCCAGTCCAAAGGTGTCCACTGCAGCCGTGAAACCGTGTCCTCGCCAAACCCTTCAAAATGGGATTTCAGCCAGAAGTCACTATATATATATATATTATACATATATATATAATAACATATATATATATATGTATATTAACATATATATATATATATCTATAAACCCTTCAAGAGGGGATTTCAGCCAGAAGTCTACAATTCCCGACCTGGTGAGAAGAGTCGCCCAGCCCGCTTCAATCCGCGCATTCCGCTCGAAGTGGGCAAAGAGGTATATACTGTCTTAATGTACACACACACCCATAATTTTTAATTTGTATCTATATCCGTATCTGCATCTGCATGTATGAATATATGTGGTAGCATGTACGTGCAAGTGTAATTTTATATAGTGTACATGTATATGTGTGTGTGTGTTTATGTATCTATGCATTTCAGCGATGTAGATTCGGCATTTCAGAAGCGAAAAACGTGCCCGAGACAGTGGTGGTGCCCGAGCTGATGCCAGGAGGAAGGAGGAGGAGAAGACCACTGATCCAGGAGACGACCCAGAAATAGTTCTGGAGCGAGGCGGGCTCAAATGTTGGGGCGTAGGTCACCAGAAGAGGTTGCTTGCTCGCCTGGAACTATCTGCATGTTCCTTCTAGAGCCTGGGTGCGACAAGAGTTCAGAGTGTTCGGAGTATTCTAGAACAAGGCTTTCTTGGCCAAGTTTAATCCAAGGGCTTCGTACTCGTAGCTCTGACTGGAAGTGGCACGCTGCCAGGAACCTCCTGAGACGAGTCTCGATACTCTCGTGCGGAGGTCCACCTGTGAGGAAGCCGAAATTTTTACATGGTGGTTTCCTCGTGTAAGGGGCACTTGGATCGTACTATCTAGCTGTGTATATGTAGATAGATCGATAATTGATAGATTCTAGATAGATAGATAGATAGATAGATAGGATATATATATATATATATACATAGGCTCTATACTCATGTTATGAGGCTCCCGCATTCATCCAGCCTCATTCGACCTGGCATGTGCTGGGCTTGGCTCGTTTCACAACGTGTCGCCGCATTGTCTCTCTGCAAGCTGGAGAACCAGGCTCCAAAAACGGGGTAGGGAGGCCTTTCAAGTGATGTTCGGGAAGTGTGAAGTGGTCCCAATGAACATGGGAGTGCCAGGACAGCAGAAGATGTACTTGTAGACTCTCATGTTTCTCCCTGACAACCACTGAGTGCATCCTAAGTATGCCAGGAAGTTATCCTTCGCCTTGTCGCTGATTGCCCAGGGGTTGTCTGGACAGAGTTCACACTCCTGAAACATAGCTGTGGCCCCCTTGCTTGCATAAGACAGAGGCCAAGAGGTGTTTGAACAGAGGCAGTGCCGTATAGGATGCCCCGACTCTGATGAGGTTCCAGCTTACACCCAAACTGGGTCGCAGTGCGTCGGGCTTGCACGTAGGCCACAGAGTCGGAGAAGAAGTAGTGTTAGGACACCATAGAGTCACTGTGCAAGTCACTGTTCTTGGTTTCTTGGGTCCTGAACTCACTGAACAAGCGAAATGCTTGCCAAGAAAGTGCAAGCTGAGGCTCTGACTGTCACCGAAGCAGCAGACTCTCAAAACATCACGCGCCGCACCTCTCCAAATGCTGCATGCAAGTAGATGCTCAGACTGGCGATAGCAAGTGGCATGGCACAGAGGGTTCTGGAATGCAAGTGACTGCCAGCTTCCTCCCCGTTACCAATACCAGTATAGTAATAACCAATTACCTCATCCATATAAGAGGATTATTCCTATACTCTCCCCTACATCACCAACTATATCACCGCTACTACCCCATTACAAAGACCAGTACAGGAATATCCGATTACCCCATCCATATTCCTAAGGTGGTATTATCATCCCAAAGTGGGCAAAGGTTCTCTCATAGATTTCAATAGGTCGACTTTCAAAGGTTGTAACTTAGCTTCTGAAATGCTGTAGTATAACGTGCAGAACCCTTGCCCATTATTGGCCTAATAGTACCACACCCTACCAACAACTACTGCATCTCAATACTTCGCCGCAATTCCACTTCCACTAGAAGTCTCAACCAATACTCATTTTCCAATACAGGCCACTAAGGCCACCTGTCTGACAAAGTGTTCTCTACCCCTATGGCTGGTGCTATCATCCTGTCATGTCGAATCTCAGCCCCCCAAGAGGCAAACGCTCAGGCACAGTCATTCAGGTACCTGTGTACGGGATGAGATAGACATCCCGAGCACTCGCATCTACAAGAACAGCAACGACTGCATTGACAACTGGCAGTCAAGAGGACAGACTGCAGCTGCGAACATGGTAGAGCATCATCTGCTAAAGATGCGTGAGGTTTGTTTTATGTGTGTGTGTGTGTGCGCGTGACTGCATTGTTGTCGGGACTGAGCATGATTGCAAGCTGATATCCCCGGCAGCATTTTGCTTGACCCTGAGTTCGTGCCTTGTTCTACTCTTGTGGGTTAGTGGTATGTTCCTCGCTGCCATCTGTACTTGCTCTGGAATCACTGATGAGGAGGCTGTTGGGGGAGTCCAGAGCTGGGTCAATGACAGGATCCAGGACGTTGGCAAGACTTTGAGAAAGAAGGGAAAGGAACTTACAAAGATCCAGAAGCACTACAATGCCTGGGCCAATGAAACGGTCGGCAAGGAAAAAGATAAGAAACTCGACAAACTCATCAGGATGGTTCAAAAAAAATTGGCTGACTGGTTCTTCAAGAATATCCTTAAACAATTGGTGTCAAAGATGTTTGGAAGGCAGGTCTGGGCGCGATCCTTGAAGACAAGAAGGTGCGAACGGCGTTGTTGGAATACTCCAAAGACAAAGCCGGATGGGAGAAGTTGGAGCATGCCTTGAACAAGGCTGCACCAAAGGCGAAGGAGCATTTCTTGAAAGCCGTAAGGAATTATGCCAAGAATTTGGGCCGGCAAGCATTGTTTGACTTGGTGCAGGACCTGACGCAGGATACCCACGACTATGATGTTTCCAACAGCGAGGATGACCTGGATGGGTCGGGCTCTCATGCACACGATGGTGGAAAGGATGAGAACATGTCCCATCAGAGCGACCGTCGGGATTACTTGCATCACCGCCAGCACGATGGCCACCACCATGCGCGTGCCCCACCCCTCCTCGACCCGCCCGGGCCCCCGCACCACCTACACCCCCTTCCTGGCTCCTGCTCTGGCATGCACCAGAGCCATCACCATGGCATGTACCCGAGTCAGCACCCCATCTCCCTTCCTGGCTCCTGCTCTGGCATGCACCAGAGCCATCACCATGGCATGTACCCGAGCTTTCAGGGTCAGCACCCCATCTCGCTTCCTGGCTCCTGCTCTGGCATGCACCAGAGCCATTACCATGGCATGTGCCCGAGCTTTCAGGGTCAGTCATATGACTACACCCTTGACGATGGAACGCACCAGAGCTGTCAGGGTCAGTGGTATGGCGATGGCGGCACCCCTGACATGTACGAGAACGGCGATGGTGACACTCCTGACATGTACGAGAGCCATGACTGCCAGGTTGAAGAGGTGACCCACCATGACTACTACCACGGGCACTGAGGCTTTGCCTCACGGGCACGTCCCACATCCATAGATTTTCCACTAGCAGGCCCAAGAGTTGCTGAAGCCTGAGTGTACAGTACCATGTCGTGTTGTCTTATTACGGGCTGCGTAAGAACGCGTGAGGAGATGTTCTCTGTCCATGGCTTAGGGTCTATATGGGGGTTTCGGGTTTGGGGTGGGTGTAGGGCGCTCAGTGTCTAGGGTGGAGGATTTAGGATTTTAAGATTTAGGGACCAATCAACTTCAGTTGTTTCCGACCGAGCGCGTGCTTATGAATTAGCTCCGGATAGCTCAATTTAGATCCTTCCGAGGGTGAAGATACCCTTGGATGACACCACTCCGAGTCTGAAGTCATTGAAACAGCGTCAGCCTTACATCAGTGTTTGGTCAGCGGCGAACATGCCAGCAAGTCTCCTAGGATCGGAGATTGGAGCAAATATGTACATACCGTAGAAAGAATACAACAGAACTTCAGTCAAAGTTATCATTATGTCGAGCGTGTGGACAGACCGTATTTAAGTTTTGACTTATCAAAAGTTCAATATTCCTTCTAAATTGATTCTCTACCAAAAGTATTCAAAGAAAGAAAAACTTTTTGCATTATATTTTTTTAACAGAAATGGAAGAGCAGGAAGAAATCATTTATGCGTTCATAAATGCATTGAAAATGAAAACAGTTATAAGTGAAAACATGAGTATGTGTCGTACATGTAAGTCCACACAAGAATATATGAGCTGGTATAACTTGCCAAAACCCGAAAGTGCCATCACAATCATCATATGCAAAGTCAATTACAAAGAATGTGAGACACGTGGAGACATGTGCTACACTGCAGGAATTAAACAGTCACGGTTACGGTTGTAGCATGAAGAAGTCTGAAAATACAGTTGAAGCAGTGAAGATTAACAGACCTATAAAATGCAATAATATGGAGGAAGTGCAAAAGAACAAGGAATCACATAAATCAGTATTATGTGATTCCCAACATACAAGAAAGTTGTAAACCAAATACTGAATGTCTGCCAGGTGCTGCGATGGTTAGAGCTGGGATGGCGCCACACCGAGCGCTTTGGCGCTGCCCTGAGGCCTTGAGACTTCCAGGGGTTGGAATAATAGCAATAGTACAGATAAGAATCAAAATCAACATAGCCACTTAATAATAATACTAATAGAAAATACTTATGATCATCATTTCTTCTTCTTATGAGTTAGTAGTAGCAGTAGTACTGTAGCAGTGCCCATGCAACGACCCGCATTGTTATGTGAAAGTAACCCCCAAGAACCGCCAAGCGTAGTCGGGAATCCTGGGTCACAAAATGAGGCTACGACCACCTCCAGAACCTCCACCTTCTCTTTGCAGTCGCTCTCTGAGAGGGTTCATTCAGGGTGATCAGAAGATTTGTTGCCCCACTTATGAAGACCCAATATGTGTTACCACGACTCTCTCTCGTGCCATCTAGGCTTTGGAGGAGAAGCGGACCAGCGTTCTGGCGAGGACATGGGTACGGGGCCCGGGGCATCATGGGGTTTCAAATTTCAAACTAGGGAGTGCCAGCTTCAGACGAGATTAGTCCGTATTTGAGGTGGATTCGCAGCCTACGCATGCTAAAGACACCCGTGCTGACGTGGCTTCGGAGTTGTAGCTTGTCGTGTCGCACACTTAGCAGCGACCAAATCACAGCACAAGTTCCTTCAAAAAGGGACCAACTAGAGACGGTCATGTACCACCCTCGAAGCTTCAGGAACATCTATGCACTTCCGACTACTCACATTCATGTGCTACATCCACACGTGCATGCGCACGAAGATTTCGATGATTTCGAGGCGTGGACATGTGCCCTACGTGAGCATCCTTACAAGCATGTATACGTACATATCATAATCATAGCGTCATAAAACACAACATAGCATAACACGGCATAGACACAGATATTCACACATGCATACATCCAGGCAGGCAGGCAGGCAGGCAGGCACACAGGCACACAGGCACACAGGCACACAGACACACAGACACACAGACACACAGACACAGACACGCACAAACACACACACGCACACAAACACAGACAGACAGACAGGCAGGCAGGCAGACAGACAGACAGACAGCCAGGCAGACAGACAGACAGACAGACACACAGACACAGACACACACACACACAGACAGACACAGACACAGACACAGATAC